TTTCTGCACACATACAAACCAACCCCTGCCACCATCTTCTGCCACAACTCAATTGGTCTAATGGTCTATGTCATGGACTTTCATGTGAGAGGTCAGGGTTCGAAACCTGGCTAATGCAACGTTAAGAAAAAATCTCTTCAAACTTCATATTGTCACACAATTACCTTAATTCTAAACACCTGCTGATGTGACATGCACAACCTGGTATAGAAAACACATTTGAACTTGGTCAAAGTTCATTCGGCAAGTCCAATGCTGCAGGCAAATCCATGCTACATGGCAATGCACACTTGTTTTTACATCGTAAAAACCCATGTCTAGTCCTCATTGAAGTTGTGTACGACCACAATGAATTTTAAACAAAACAATTCAGATGCAGTTGAAGTTCAGACTTTCAGCTTTAATTCAGTGAGTTGAACAAAACGATTGCATAAAAATGTGAGGAACCAAAGCATCTTTTAAACACAATCCCTTCATTTCAGAGGCTCAAAAGCACTTGGACAGATTAAATAACTGTAAATAAAATGTTCATTTCTAGTACTTGATTGAAAACTCTTTGTTGGCAATGACTGCCTGAAGTCTTGAACTCATGAACATCACCAGACGCTGTGTTTCCTCCTTTTTAACGCTCTGCCAGCCTTCACTGTGGCGGTTTTCAGTTGCTGTTTGTTTGTGGGCCTTTCTGTCTGAAGTTTATTTAGTCTTTAACAAGTGAAATGCTCAGTTGGGTTGAGATCAGGTGACTGACTTGGCCATTCAAGAATATTCTACTTCTTTGCTTTAATAAACTCCTGGGTTACTTTGGCTTTATGTTTTGGATCATTGTCCATCTGTAGTATGAAACAACAACCAATCAGTTTGGCTGCATTTGTCTGGATCTGAGCACACAGTGTGGCTCTGAATACCTCAGAATTCATTCGGCTGCTTCTGTCCTGTGTCACATCATCAATAAACACTAGTGACCCACTGGCAGCCATGCATGCCCAAGCATCACACTGCTCTGCTGTGTTTCACAGATGATGTGGTGCTTTGGATCATATTCTTCCAGAACTGTGCTGTTTTTTTTTTATATTATTTTTTAGCAAAGACCAATCTAGCCTTTTTATTCTTGAGAATTATGAGTGGCTTGCACCGTGCAGTGAACCCTCTGTATTTACTTTCATGCAGGCTTCTCTTTACGGCCAGCTTAACCTGCATGGAGAACTCCTTTGACCGCATGTTTACTTCACAGTACACCTCAAATCAACTCCAGGCCTATTATCTGCTTCACTGAGAATGACATAAAAGAGAGAATTGCTCACACATGCCCATGAAACAGCCTTTGAGTGAATTGTCCAATTACTTTGGGTTCCTTTAAAAGCAGGGTGGGTACAGATAGGAACAGAACCTAAACCCTTCATCCAATTTTAATGTAGAAACCCTCAAATGAAAGCTGAAAATCTGGACTTCATGCCAAGTCTGTTATATAACTATAACTTGAATATATTTCAGTAAACGGGTTAAAAAAAACTTTGTGCCAAATAGATATGGACTTAACTGCATTTTGTGGCTTAAGTTGGAGCATTTCCATAGGCTTAATGTTCTATCGCTGACTGCCCTTTGGCTGATAATAACACACAAAATAATATAAAGTGAAGTTAGTAAAACATTACCTTGTTTGTTATGTTACCAGCAGGTTATTAACGTGTATATGACGCTGTTTTTCACCTCCACTAACCACAGAGTCCGACATTGAGACACATGAGCAGGTCGTGCTGTTTAGCTAACATGTTCATGATTCAGAAATACTGTGAGGTATCACTCCACACTTTGTGCACCAGATAAAACATTACGTGTTCATCCCTTTAACTCTACGTTTGTCTATTTAAATAAATATATTTTTGCTTCAGTTTCGAGATAAGAAAATATAAGGGCTTTCTATAAATTATTGTTAGTCGGCTTGAAACTCTACCATTCAAAAGTTACAGCACAACATCATATTATATCAACTACGTATGGCCATACGTAGTTGATATATATATTACATCTCTTATTAACACTGCGACTATCATCAGAAAACAATCTAGGTTTACATGATATTAATGTCAAAATTCAGAATTAAATTCGCTCATTTTGAGCAGGTTCTGATTTTATGTGAAGGAGGAAATACCTTTACTAAACATACAATCTTTGGCAGCATTCTTCTTCTACGTTATAAATATTTGTTGGCGCATGCGTTTGTCGCCGTCTAGGGATTAGGTAGAATGAACTCACGACGTCCATGTTTCAGGTTTGTTACCTCCTGTGTGTTTTTCATGTTTCAATAAATAAATAACGTACTTTTTGTTTATCATTATTTGTTATCTGTAGGGGAAATAAATCCTAATTTTGAAGCCTAAAAACAAAATAAAATGGTCATTGTAGTTCGCATTATGGACACTAGGTGGCAGTAAATTAAAAAACAAACCGAATTTGAAGGCTCGTTGAAATCAGATGGTCTTTGTTTTTGAGACTTCCCTTTAAACCCCCCGGAGAAAATGTACGACATGTATGTAATATGTTTATATAAACTCTTATGCACACACGTTTGTTTTGCTAATGTGGTATAATAATTCCGTAATGCTGTCATTTTATTAGCTTCCGGCTTTGCGACCATTTGTCTTGTTATTTAAAATAATTACACGAAGAGAGTGACTTTTGTAACCTTAATGTCGTGTAATAATGACTTTTGACCGAGGAATTATTTTTTTAATATTTCAGACTGCAGTTAAAATGGAAAATAACTAGTTTGTTATCAAAAACAAGCATCTTACACCAATTTAAGCACAGTAGTGGAAGGTTGATGATTTGCAGTGATGAGACCCTCTGGCTTTCAGTGAGTAAACACAGGTGAAGAAGCAGATAAATTACAGTCCTACTCCCGCTGCTTTGACAAATTGTCATGTTTGCTTTTCACAAAATGATGTAAGCACAAAACTTACCTTTAATATTGAATTTGGCATCTTACCCACGTGAAATTGTAAGTATTTTAAATCTGTGTGCTAGCCTTTTTTTTACACACTCCATTTTAAACCAAATGTGCTTTTTCCTGCAAACCCCCCATGGTCTTTTCTTCACCATCTCTGTTCTCACCATCAACTTCTTCCTCGTTGTCCCCAGGTATCAGGCCAGTCTGCAGCACCAAGAGGCACCAAATGTGATGCAGTATCAGAATCATTACACCGAAGGTCCAGGGGCAGAGGATGCTGTGTCCGGGTTATCTGTCCAAATGGACCCAGCTCTTTACCAGGAACCTTTTTACCACAGTTACCCCCCAGTCCCAAACCATCAATACCAGGAGCAGGTCTTCCAGCAGAACTTCAGGGAGCATCAACACTATCCTGCATTTCAGTACCAGCCTCAGTATCAACAGTCAGTCCAGCAACAGGAGCTGATGCTTCAGTCTTCTGACCACCCACAAAGTAAAAACAAACCCTTTACAGTCACACAATATATTATTTGTTAAATAAACATTATAGTGTCTTCACCTTGGATTTTTACATGACAAAAATTCTTGTTTTTCATTGGTTTTATATCCAATCATGCCTTCATTCACCTGTAGCTCCGACATCGGTAAAGAAGAAACGAGGTCGACCCAAGCAGCAGCCAGAGGACGGTGAGACAAAAGAAGAAGACGAGGCTGAGGCGGCTAAAAAGGCGAAGAGGCTTCTAAACCGCTTCAACGGCATGTCGGTGGCTGAGGTCATGGCCAAAACCCTCCCTGACGTTATAGCCCACAACCTCGACATTTTGATAGTGAGTTCTTTTGATTGTTCTTCTACAGAAGGCTGGATCTGTTCACTTGTAAATAAACACATTTGGGTTCACTTTAGCCCAGATTTAGGTTCAGGTTTGTATTACAACTGAAAAAAAAATCTATATGTTTTTCCCCCCACTGCATTTCTATGAAAACACCTTAATTTTTCTCCTCAGATTGGAATAAATCCTGGACTGTTGTCAGCTTTCAAAGGACACCATTACCCAAACCCAGGAAACCATTTCTGTAGGTTAAAATTCTGTTTCACAGCTAACAGGAAATACACACCAGTGTTCACTTTTATTATTTTTATTATATCTACTGTTTTAGTTTTACCAAACAGGCTTGATGAACGCTTTACTTCTTCTTCATCTACTAAATTAAAGATAAACCTTTTATTTATTCCCTCTAAATTGCAATCTATATAAAAAACAGCTTTAAAAAATATAGTTTTATTGCAATTAACGCAATAAAAGAAGTTAAGAAAAATGAGATACAAATATAGCGCAGAGGGAGTTTGCGTGTTCCCCCGTGCGTGCATGGGTTCTCCTCGATACTCCGGTTAAAAAATTAAATAGATTAAAATAATCTTTTGTGCATTTTGTTTTGCACGAGGGACAGTTTTTAGACAATCCTTCACCACATCTCACTTCACCTTTAAGAAATTAAACATTGATCTCTGCGACTGAGAAAATCAGCAGGATGAAAACATTAGCTCCGAAGCATTTCCTTCACGTAAATATTTATTTTAAAGGATTACACGTAGTGACAAATATTTCTAGTAGCCACTATAAGAATCTTGAGTTGATGAAATGGTGTACATGTGTAACATTGTGCTGTGAGAGAACAAAGAATAATGTCTGAATTGTTCTCGCCTGCTTCTAAAAGAAAACACAGGCAATAATGTTTCTGTTTGTGTGTTTTTATTATTATTATTGGAACTCTCGATAAGTAATAATCGTAACATTTGAAGTCGACCTGATTCAAGATGGCTGCCACAGCCCATAGAAGAATAGAAACATTGGGCCTCATGCAGGAACATGTTCGTATTCTTATCCTAAATTTCTTTTACTTTTGTTCGTACAAAGGGTTCGTACGAACATGTCACGTCAGATTCAACAAACTCTTCTATCTTCAGGAAAAGTGTGTAAATGAGCTGCGTAAATGACACCCGTTCGTATCCAGCTGCTGGTGCACGCGAGAGGA